AGATCTGCCCTGTCCTAAACCCTCTCGTGTCCAGCTTTAGGCCTCGTGTGAGGAGCTTTCCAATGTTTTTCCTACTTTATTAAAAAAAAAAAAAAATAAAAATGCTGCGATGTTTTCCAAACATGTTTGCTTCTCTTTCAAGGATCCTCGTAATAAATTGGGTGGTAAATAAATCCATTAGAGATGTTGGACAACGATGAGTTGCAATGAACTTTTCTCCACACCACGATTTGGCATTTTTTAAGATTTTTTTTTTTAATAGGAGTTCGTTTGAAATGGAATTTAAATACATCCAGTGTTCCTGAGTTGACTCACTCCCAGAGTCTCATTATGTAGTTCAACTATATCTGCCCACAAAGGAAAAAAAAAGAACTATTTTACATATCTGGGAGACCACAGAGTTCTGATTGTTCATATTGTAGGAGAAAAAATATTCCTGAAATCGACTTAAATAGATAAAGGAATTAAAGATCCTTTTTTTTCTCTCAGAGTGAAGAATCAAAGCAGCTGATAATCAGAAAAAAAACCTCCAAAAGCAACCCCAAAGGGAGGAGAAATAAAAGCTGCCTTGACATTCCCCTCAAATCCATCAGTTCTGGAACAACATCCAACGGGAATAACGAGGAAAATTAGTGGGGGATTTGTATTTTCATGGGAGGTGGATTTTAATTCTTTTTGAAGTTTTTCCTTGAAGCCTCGGAGGGCTGGAGCCTCATTCCCAGCTCCTCATGTGGGATTTGCCATCTCCTTTCCTGCAGGGATCCCATCCCAAAAATCCTCCAGGATCCCTTTCCTTGGGACACTTTCATGCTGTGGATCCTCACAATTCCATGGAGGAATTTATTCCCACCCCTGGGTGGATGTGTGTTATTATCCATGGTAGGATTCTCAGGAATCTCTGGAATTCTGCTTTTATGGATTAATTACGTCAATTAACAGAGCAGTAAAGTAGATTTCTGTTGGAATTTTTTGCATTTCCAACAGAATTTTTTTTTTTTTTGCCTTTCTGCACATCCATTTGACAGCAACTCCACTCCACCAGGATATCCCTGGCAGTGCAATCCCAGGGATCATCCAGGGACATTCCAGTGAATCCTGGCTGAGCTGCTCCCTCAGCACAGGAAGATTTTTCTCCTGCCAAAGTCTGTGCCCTGCTCTCAGCTCTCACAATTCCCAACTTTCCTGCCTCCAGGACACTGTGGGGTAATTCATGCTGCCTCAGGATTTTTCCTGTGAAAAAATTCCCTTTTCCTTAGGAGTGACTCCCATCTTTTTGCCCCCTCGTTGTCCTTCTGGTGGCCCAATTTGCAGCCTGGCCGAGTTTCTTTTTTTAGTATTCGTTTTTAATATCATTGTTCAGGTTATAAAAATAAATCCCTTTTAATATTGTTTGGGATGAGAAAGGAAAGTGGGATCTCACAGGGCTGGGTCCACCCTGCCAGGGGACAAAAATCCCATTCCCTTCAAGCACAGGGATTTGGGATTTGTGGGGGTTTTTTTTGTGGAAGAAATGGAGGAAATGGGACAAATTCGTGTGTCCTCCGTGGGTTGAGAGCTTGGCTGCCCCAGAGGCTCCGTGCTGGCACTGGAATGGGAAATGTCTCACAGCAAAATTCCTGCAGTTTTATTGGAAGTCTCGAGACTGAGGGCACTTGCGAGGCAGCCAAGAGAAATAAAAGTCGGGATCACGGAGTGGGTTTGGGGTGGAAGGACATTCAGGATCCTCCAATCCCACCCCCTGCCATGGACAGGGACACTTCCCACTATCCCAGGGTGCTCCAACCTGGAATTGAACATTTCCCAGGATGGGGCAGCCACAGCTTCCCTGGCAAATCCATTCCCCACCCTCATGGCCGCTCCAGTTTGGAGTTGTTTTGTTGTTTTTTTTTTAATTCCCGAATTTCTGAGCTGTTTCCTTCTGTTTTTTGGGGTTTCTTTTTAAATTCCCGAATTTCTGAGCTGTGTCCTTCTGTTTTTTGGGTTTTTTTTTTTAATCCCCGAATTTCTGAGCTGTTTTCTTCTATTTCATCACCGACAATCCATCCCCACAATTCTCTGGAAAACGCCTCATTAATTAATTAATTAATTAATTAATTACAGCACTGCTGCTCCTGCCAGGCCCAGCTGTCGGAGCACCCAGCTTGGATCCAGCTTCTCTCCAGGGATTTCTGGACAATCTCCCCTTGCTCCTCCTCCTCCTCCTCCTCCTCCTCCCGGATCCTTTTGTGCAGCTCCGTTTCCTCCCCACCTGCTCCCTTTTCCAGCAGCAATGGATCCATTGTCTGGAGCTGCTCAGCTTTTCCCACAGGGATTGCAGTTCCACAGAGCTCCCTGTCAGCCTGCCCGGAACGTGGAGGAGCCAAGGAAAACAAGAGACAGAGAGAAGGGGAAGAAAAAAAAAAAAAAAAAAAAAAAAAAAAAAAAGGAAAGGAGAAAGTGCTTTTGCGGGAATTTGGTGGGGCTTTGATGAGTTTGGACTCACCCAGCACCTTCCACCTGCTCATCCCATCCCTCCCACGCTTCCCACTGCACCCCAGACTTGGATTTGGGAGCCTTGGATTCGTTTGGCACCAAGGAAAAGCAGCAGGGCCAAGGCTGGCCCTTCCCAGCTCAGCCCCCGCCATCCCCCGGGATTCCCGTTCCAGCAGGACTCTGGATTTATCCCAAACAAGCTGTTGCTTTGGGGCAATAATCCACAGGCACAGGAAAACCTGGAGGGAAATTCTTTCTGGACGTGGACACGCTGCTTGATGGATCTGCAGGAAAAAAGGGGGCATTTAGGGCCAGATTTTGGGGCCTGACCCTTTGTGGCACATTCCCACCTGGTGCCTGTCCTAGCTGGGATGATCCATATGATATTTAAGGATATTTAAGGATATTTAAGGATATTTAAGGATATTTAAGGATATATCTATACCTGGACATTCTTTTTTTTTTTTTTAAACCTTCTGCTTTGAAATTAAACCCCATGGGAGATAATTTGACTGTTGGGTATTGCCAAAGGATTCCTTGGGAGCCCAAAATTCCTGAGGGATGATGCAGGGTCAAGTCCAGGCTTGTGGGTCCCCTTTTGTGCTAAGATTTGAACCTGTGTCCCAAGAAGTTTTACCTTTTCTGATCCAGATGGGAATTCCCAAAGGAATCCTGTTCTCCCTTCTTGTCCAGCCTTCATTTCCTAAGGAAGAGCCGACAGAAATCAGAAAAACCCCCACAAAATTTTAGGATCAGCACTGGGAGCTGAGGTGCTCAGGCTGGAGCTGACTGGGAGGCCTCATTCCCAATATTCCCACTTTTCCTTTTCCTGCCCAGTTCAACCCCCTGGCTGTCCCAGTATCCAACTGGTGAGCACTGGTGACCTGATTGCTCCTGCCAGGAGATTTTCCAGCGTCTCCACAGGGCTCCAGCTCCTGCCAGAAGTGGGACACAGGCTCCAGCAGGGAAGGAGCTGACCCAGCTCCAGCAGCTCATCCCACTGGGCACTTCCAGAGGGGCCAGGGCAGGGACTGGGTTATTCCAGGGAATCCCCACTGGGAATTCCAGCCCCTTCTCCAGGTGCAGCTTCTCCTTCCCTGAATGCAGCTCCAGGACCTCCAGAGCATCCTCAGAGCCTCCAGGACACCCCCAGGAGCGCCCTGGGAAACTCCAGAATGCCCCAGAGCACTTCCAGGATCCTTCTGGGAAGCCTCAGCCCTCTGGAAAGCTCCAGGAACCTCCTGGGAAGCCCCAGGATGCCCCAGAACAGCTCCAGGATCCCCCTGGGAAGCCTCAGTCTTCTGGAAAGCTCCAGGACACTCCTAGGGATCCCCAGCACCCTTCTGGGAAGCCCCAAAATCTCCTGGGAAGCCCCAGGATGACCCAGGACAGCTCCAGAATCCTTCTGGGAAATCTCAGTCCTCTGGAAAGCTCCAGCACCCTCCTGGGAAACCCCAGGATGTCCCAGGACAGCTCCAGGGTCCTTCTGGGAAGTCCCAACACCTTCCTGGGGCAGCTCCAGGATCCTCCTGGCAAGCCTCAGTCCTCTGGAAAGCTCCAGGATCCTCCTGGGAAGCCCCAAAATCTCCTGGGAAGCCCCAGAGCAGCTCCAGGATCCCCCAGGCAAGAGCCCAAACCCCCTCAACAACCCCAAGATCGCCGACATTCCCAGCCTTTCCCTGTGTGTCCGTCCCCATTCCCTCTGTCCAGCAGCAGCAGGATCCATCCACGGGCACTTTTCCAGCCCGTCCCAGGGAAGGGCAGCACGTGGCACCCACGGGGGCTGCAGATCCCGGGGTCACCCTCACAGGGACACCTCTGCTGGGCTCTCCTACATCCAGCAGGATGGATCATCCCTATCCAGAGCCCCGGGAATCCTCTTAGGGCAGTTTTAGCGGGATAATCGCGTTAAGCCGCCCCCGTGGTGCCGGCACAAACCCAAAAGGGAAAGGAGAAGGCGCTGAGGGGCCGGCAAAGCCGAGCTCCTTAAGGAATTAACAGATATCGGAGATGGGAGAGCTCTGATGGGATCTCAGAGCCTTGGGGTTTGTCCATCCAGGAAAGCAATTCCCAGGAAATTGGAGCCACGCAGCCCCAGCTTGAGATCTGCAGCACCAAAGCTTTCCTAATGTGAGATTGGTGATCCCAGAAAAAAACAAAGGGAGCAAAAAGCTTCCAATGGAACTGAGAACTCCATGGCTGTGAGATTTCCTATCATCAAAAAGCAGCTGGAAAAAAAAAAAATCCTTCGGAGAATCTTTTAGGGATGTTGTTTTCATTATCTCTTTCCCCTAAAAATAAGTTCCCAGAAGCGGCAGTTCCTCCACAAAGCTGGAAATTTCATGGAAGAGCTTTCCCTGCTGCGAGAATTCCGGCTGGTTTTCCAAACTCTTCCTCACCAAGGCCCCTCTGGACAACCTCCCTCCTCCCTGAGTTTGTTTATATGCTTTGAATCCCATTAGGAAACCATCTCCCTCCTTCAGCGCTGGTTTATCCAAGTTTCCATATTTAGTTCTTTCAGCTATTCCTGTTCCTGAACCAGCTTTCCTGCCGGGACCTGCTGCATCCCAGTTCTTCCCTCCAGCAGTTGCCACGGGGGGAATCATCCCCCATCCTCCCTGCACTGATGGATGCTTTCACTCCCTGACCCACCTCGATCCCAAATCCCTCCCCAGGCCCTAATCCCGGGATTGGGACCGCCGTGGAGCCCGAGGTGCTGTCCATGGGATGGGGAGCTGGGAATTGCGGGATTTTAGGGAGGGACAGAGTTAAAGGCGGGGAAGGAGGGTTTCCTCCTGGCACGTGGCTCCATGTCAGCCGGCAGAGGCATCGCAGGGAAAGCGCCGGAGGAATTCACCGGGAGCAGCGAGACGCTGCTTAGAGGGAAATCGGTGTTTGGATCCCGGCAGCCAAGGTGAGTCCAAGGGCAGCGCTGGAATCGCCGCCTCTCCGCCCCAACATCGTCCTTGTGGACACTGGGGTGTCCCCGCGGTGTCCCTGTCCCCCCCTGTCCCACTGGGCTCCAGTGGGATGGGAGCTGTGGGGTTTGTGCATTCCCAAAGCCCAGGCTGAGCGGGATCAGCCCGGAGCCTCCCGAGGTCCCGGGGGCTGCCTGGGGACTCTCGGGGTCCAGGGGGGGTTGGCAGCTGCTCTTGGGGTCCAGCTGTGACAGAAGGGGCAGGTGGCAGCTCCAGAGTCCAGCTGGAGGGTCTTGAGCTCCAGCTGGGGGGTGTGGGGTCCGGCTGGGGGCTTTGGGGTTCGTTTGATGGGTGTAGGGTCCAGCTCTTGGGTGTAGGGTCCAACTGGAGGCTCTGGGGGTCTCATTGATGGGTGTAGGGTCTGGCTGGGGGCTCTTGGGGTCCAATTGTTGGGTGTAGGGTTCAACCTGAGGCTTTTGGGGTCCAGCTCATGGGTGTAGGGTCCAACTGGAGGCTCTTGGGGTTCGGTTAATGGGTGTAGGGTCTGACTGAAGGGTGCAGGCTCCATCTGGTGCCTCTTAGGGTTCAATTTCGGGGTGTAGGCTCCAGCTGGTGCCTCCCAAGCTCTGGTTAGTGAGTCCAGACTCCAGCTGAAGGCTGTAGGGTCCAGCTGGAGATTTTTGGGGTCCAGCTGCTGGGTGTAGAACCCACTTGAAGGCTGTAGGGTCCAGTTGGAGCCTCCTGGGGACCTGCTGCTTCTTCCCTCATCCCTAAGGATCCACCTGATGGCTGCACGGTCCCGCCGCTGCCTTTTGGGGTCCGGTTGCCACCGGGGGGCAACCCCGGTCCCTCGGGGGGTGCCGATCTTTCGAGAGGTGCCGGTCCTTTGAGGGGTGCCAGTCCCTGGGGGGGTGATGATCCCTCGAGGGGTGCCGGTGCTTTGAGGGTGCTGGTGCTTGGGGGGTGCTGGTGCTTCGGGGGTACCGATCCCTCGGAGGGTGCCGATCCCTCGGGAGGTGCCGTTCTCTCGGAGGGTGCCGGTGCTTCGGGGATGCTGATGCCTCGGGGGGTGCCGGTCCCTGGGGGGTTGATGATCCCTCGGAGGGTGCCGGTCTCTCGAGGGGTGCCGATCCCTCGGGGGTGCCGGTCTCTGGGGAGGTGCCGCTCCTTCGGGGGGTGCGGATCCTTCGGGGGGTGCCGGTTCCTCTCCGCTCCTCCCGAACCGTCGGGGCCGGGCCCGGGGCTCCCCCGCCCGCCGCTCCCAGCAGCCCGCCGGGGCCGGGGGAGGAGCGGGCACGGGCGGCGGCGGCGGCGGCGGTGAGTGGTGCCCGCGGGGTGCGGCGCTCCGAGCGCCCGGGACAGCGGCGACAACCCCTGGTCCCCGTGGCTACCGGGCCGAGCGGGGCCGCACCTGCCCCGGAGCATCCCCGGGAGCGGGGAAGGTGAATTTGGGAATGCCCGGCGCGGCTGCGGTGGCGGGGAGCAGCGGGATGCGCGCTCCGGGAGGAGGGATGGAGGGAGAGGAGGGGTCTCCACCTCCGTGGGGACAACACCGGGGGATCCCCCCCCGTGCCCCACAGCTGTGCCCAGCACCCTTAAATCATCCCTCAGGCTCTGAGCTGGGATGTGAAACCCCAAAATCAGCGCTGCGCCGAAAACCGGGGAGCTGCGGCCGCGCTCCCCCCGTTCCCGAGGGTTCCCCGGGCCGGTTCCCGGAGCCTTTCCCGGTGCGGGGCGGGCAGCGCTCCCCGGCCGGCGGCTCGGCACCGGGAGCGCCTTCCCGTGCCATCCATCATCCCGCTGAAAGCCCATTGACGTCAACCCCGTCCCGTGCACGCCGGTCCCAGCGCCGGGAAAACCGGGATAGGGACCGGGAAAAGCCGGGAGGGTCCTGGGCAGGGTCTGCCCCGGGGGCATCGCACCGGGATCAGCTCGTCCCGGGCTTCCCGGCGGAGTCTCCAGGCTGGGATTTGTGCGTGGATTTGCCTTTTCCTCCATCCAGAGCTTCCTCCGCCTTCCGCGGGGTTTGGGGCAGGTGCTGGGATCGGTTCTGGAGAGAAAATTGATAAAGAAGAGGTGAGGAAGAGTGGGACGGTGCCCCGGGATGGGCAGAGCTCTTGTGCTGCTCTTTGTGCCACAAAGAGGGGGACAACAAGTGGGGACAGCCCGAAGGCGCTGTGGGCATCACCCTGGCACCCCGATGGGCACAGGCCTGGCTGGCCACAGGGTCCCCTCTGTGCCCCAAAATGGTCCCCAGGGCCACCGTGTGGGAGCTGCAGGGTGGCACCCACGGGACGTGGTGGCTGTGAGGGGCTC